AGTACTTTTCATCTTCAAAGTGATTTACAAATATTAATCACTGTTTAAGAATAGGACCCTACCCGAGAGACCATTGAGTTCCAGGAATAACATGACAAACCTACAAATATTTCAGCCTAGAACACTTTGTAGTCTCTGATGGGGTAGGCAGCAAAACACTTTTACGTGAGGATTTCTTTTCTCCTTCATTGAGCTGCAACTTGCTACCTTTACTTAAAGAATCATCAGATTCACTTCTCTCCTGAGCTTCACTCTGGACAAAATAACTATCTTCTAAGGCAAGTCTATCCAGATTTTAAAGTATGTTTTCAAAAACATCAAAAGACCTTAACATTTCTGATGTTTTCTCAAAAACTATAAATTTTATTTTTCATTTATTTTATTTGTTCCAAGGATACATTATTTACCCACCAAAATCTGGAGTTTAAGTTAGCTTATTATTTCAGTCAGGCTTATTTGTTTTAAAAAAGTGCTTATTTTCCCAAGAAAACCAAAGAAAAATAAATTTTTCCAACAGCTGGCTGGATAAATCATTTCAGAAAGCAAATATGTGTTTTAAGAGTCATTCTTTCACTGGAGACTGTTCTAAGCACTGCTAAGAAAAGGAATATCAAAAACAAGGGAAGAAATGAATTTGCCTTTTTATAAAAATTATTTTGCTGAAATAAAATTATTTTGCTAAGATTATTTGTAAAGATGTGAAAGAAAGCCTAACAGCTACTATATATAATTTCATGAAAGAAAGAAATTTTTAAGATGCAAATGTACAAAGTAAACAACCTTCAAATTTTAAGATAATAAAAGAAATCAGGATTTTGACATTCGATTTTCCCTGTAATCCTAATTGTATCCATGGCTTGTTATAAATGGTAGATCATATTTCCTGGTATAGGATTTACACATATAAACAATAATTCCATAGAACTCAGAATCTTAGTGTTCAAAGATACAGAGTAAGATCTTGACACACAAATAATAGGTCAACACACACTTACGAATTTGATGGTGGTGAGATGAAAACGTAAGTACAAAAAAAAAAAACACAAGTTGTTTTAAACTTTTGATTTTTTTAAGTAAACATTTTGAGTAATCATCATCATAATAACTGAACTTAATATAAAGTAATCTGCTTTTTTGCCAAGTAAAAATGTTTTAAAGCAGAACACATAAAACAAACTGCCACTCATTCTCAACTTTGTTTCACCAAAGGGTTGACATTTCACTACAAAAAAGCAGGAAAGTCATAATCTCCTAAATGTTCCACAAATTATTCATTATGAAAATCTTACACAACTATATTAATTTTTATTGTTTTTTTCCAACTGGAAAATGAAAATATTATCACAACCTTGCCCTTGGGAACCACTGAAATAGAGCAGTGATTCTCAGTAGGTGTGGAAATGAGTTAGAATCTCTGAGGGTTCTTTGTGGTTTGAAAAAGCATACTCAATTTTAGTAATGTAAATCCAGTTAAGAAAGCTCAACACAGTTCATGAAAAGATAGAAAAAAAATTGAGAAAGTATTGTAGAGTATATGTGGGTTATGAAGGTTCATGAAACAGTCTTATACCAAAAGTAGTCACACTATGCAGCTTAATATGGAATTGTAGGACTATAAAGGAACCCTAAAATCTTGTAATACCAACATCTCATTTGACAAATAAAGACACTGAGAAGAGTATTTAAATAATTTCATTTCAAAAACTGATAAGATTAGAATGGAATTATTTAATATCAGCAAAACGACTACTATGTCAACATGACTGGACCATTTAGTGCCCAGATATTTGGTTACAGGTTATTCTGGGTGTGTCTGTCCTGGTGTTTGTGGATGAAATTGACATTTGAATTGGTAGACTGAGGAAAGCAGATTGCCCTCCTCAATATGGGGTGGCCCTTATGCAATCTGTTGATGGCCTGAAGAGAACAGAAGGCTGAGTTAAGGAACAATACTTTCTTTCTGCCTGATGGTCTTTGAGTTGGGGTATAATCTTACCCTGCCTTCAGATTTGGACTTAGACTGGAGTTTGCACCATTGGCTCTCCTGGTTCAAATATATGAACCTGGTCTGGAACCAAAGGCTCTCCTTCATCTCATGAGTAAATTCTTTATAATCAATCTCTCTTTCTCTCTCTGTACCTCTATACACACACACACACACACGCACACACACACACACGCACGCACTCTATTGGTTCTTTCTCAGGAGACCTCTAATATAAGTACTGAGTTCAACAGCAATGTGATTGCCAAATTCTAGAATTCCAGAACAAAAAAGAAGTTTGCTGAATTATATAGGTAGTTTTACAGCAAATGAGGTAATAATTAGGGTACATAGGAATGTATACTCCACCTTGCATTTCAAGGTAGAGAAGGATAATACATAGAGGCATAAAAATACTGTATTTACTTAGGGGAGGTAATGATTATGTTATTACACTTGGAATCCACGTAGGTCACAGGCTATTGCTCACCATTTGCATTTGATTTTGAAGATTGCTTGCATGCCCTTGTGTGAGTCACCCTCTGGTGTATAGATGGAGAAGGGACACCTAGCTGGAAGGATTATAGTGTGGACAAAAGAAGAGGAGAGAAAATAGAGCTGAGTTTGAATTTAATATTATCCATGGCTTCATAGTATCATATTTCCTCTGTGTTGAGTCTCCTAATCCTTACTCCTGGTTCTTTTTCTGGCCATTTCTAGGCACAATCACAATTTTTTGGTGAGAAAAATGTGGAGTCATTTCCGTACTTTCTGTAAGAAGTCTGTATTTCTTCCAGTAAGAAGAATGGAAATGAGCTATCATGTTTATAAAAGTTTATATCTGTAATCCACTCCATCCAGAGAGGGATCCACTGGATATCTTCCCTGAATTGTCAGAGGAGAATATATATCACGTAGAACATTTCCACGAAATGGGTTGACAGAACCACCACTGGTTTCATGCTTTAGTGCCATTTAGTGTCAAGAGTCCTTCTTGACAACTCGTTTGCCTTGAAGCTGGTTTGGATTTTTACATAAACCAAGACTGAATCTCTTTTCCTAGCATGTTGGATACTTAAAGAAATGCAGTAACTTATTCCAACAGGGGTTTAATTCATAGCAGCAGATAACAGCAGCTCCATTATTGGCAACTTACAATGTTCCATGCACCATGCCAAATAGTCTATGTACATTATGATCTATAATCCTGATATTAGTGAAATGGAGATGTTAGAAGACATGTCCAAAATTTTACTAAGAGATTCAATTGTACCAAAGCACATGCTGCTTAATATTAATGCCAAATTATATCCTAAAATAAATCAGTGGATTAAAATATAAATTACATTGGATATTGAATAATACAGACTTTTACTATTCCAGAAATCACGAACTAAAGAGCAGTCTGCAAACATATAAGAGTCATTGATTAGAACTGACTTAACTTTTGAACACACACTCAAATGACTATGTGTCTAATTCATTTAATCAGTGGAAACAAAAATCTCACAGTATATTTAACTCTCAGTCTCCACGTTGGGAAGAAGGACATAAATCTTGTCTCTCGCCAAATTATGGAAACCATTAAGACTATATGCCAGCACTGGTATCTCTGGTCAGTACAGATGTGTCTTGGACAGGAAGCTGTTAACAGGAGTGTGCCAAGCAGTAGTCGTTGATGCTTATTTGTTTTGCTCCATAAAAGCACAGCCAGATCATATGGCATCAGGGAGAATAAGGCTCATTAATTTGCACTGTGTGCTTGACACACTATTCAGGCAAGGAGCAAGTTCTGAATTATGGAAAGCCATTGTCCATCTGCTGCAGATTACGTGGGGGCATTTCAGAGAGTTCTAAAACGCTTTTAAAAATAAAAATGACGAAATTCAATATGGAGGATTGTCTGATTTGAGGATTGTGAGAATAGTTCAAATATTTTCAACAGAATTAAGAGGTCGCACCATGTCAAGAAGGCAAAATTCATTTGACCACTTCTCACACCTTGCTGCCCAGGATGACAAACCTGATTGGCTCGGAGCCCTAGGAGGCTGACAGCAGGGACAGGCCCCTCAAGGCCGATCGTGAAGGAAATGAGATGGTTCCATAGCATGATATTGGCCCGGCCATTAACCTGACCTTTTACCAGACTCCTTTTTCCACACTGTGTAATCCCAAGAAGTGAGGCCACTGCCTGAAATAGGTTCACTCCAGAGAAGAGTCAACCTGCAAAATCTTCCTAAACCCTGGTTAGTGTAGGATTATTTGTATAGCTGGAGCAGAGACTGGCAAAAAAGGTTTGGCCAACATGTAGAAAACCTGGTCAAATAATTCTGTTCCCAGATTTCTTTTTTATATAAAAATAAGGCCACGCACATTGTTATTCATTTGTATTAATTACCTGAGACTTGATCACATGGCTTGAACTTAGGAGAATATGGAACCAGGTATAAAAGCTTAAAGTTTGCTGTGAGCAATTGCTTACCATATACCAGAGTTGTTAGAAGACAATTTTAGGTTGGTGGTCATTTCCCTTTATTTCATTTCTTTGCTCTAAAGCACTTTTTTCTGCTATTATTATTATTATTATTATTAAACTTTCTAAAATTTGAGCTGAGAAGAACATCATGTATATTGAAATATTATTGGGCACAAATAGCTCTTGTTCCAACTTGATTCAGTGGTAAAAGTACACCATGCTTTGGAAAGGCATATATTTTTAAAGAATCTCAACTGTAAACAAATAATTGTACTTTATTTGGAAATAGGGCAAGATTTTAAGTACTGAAATAAATTACCTGCAGTGTGTAATAGTGTACATTTTAGCTATGGTAACTATGAGCCTATTTAGTATTAATCGTCATTATTGAGAGGAGTGATTTTTACTCTCTATATAAGTAACTTAAAAGACACAGCACTTACAACGCTCCAGACTAATTTGGCACCGTTAAATGTATGTAATCATGTGTGAACTTTAAAATTCAAAAGTGTTTAAAATTGTTTTATTAATGTCCCATAAATATTTACAAGATCTTAATAATATACATTTTTTTTCTTTCCAAACAAGTCTGTATTAAGAACGTCTCTTGTGGTGAAAGCTGGAGAACATGTTTACAGAATGATTTGCTTTCAAAAAACTCTCAAAGATTTGTGGTTTTTATTCATCGTATAAGTGGCTGAATAGCAAAACCGTAAAAAATCATAACGACAATTGACAGGAAATAGGTGCTAGGTTCTAAGACTTGAATTCCTCTGGAACTCAAACCTGCAAAATATAAAAAGAAAACAATATCTTCAGAAAAAGTAGAATTGTTTGTTAGATTAATTTTTCAAGACCCAAAATGCATACTACCATTTCTCGTTTAATAACGTATTTATGACACTTGTTTCATTCACAGTATATTTAATTCGGGGAGATGTCTTTACCCTCTGTCCTAGGATGTCTGTTTTCAATGTAAAAACGCAAAAGAAAAATGCCTAGATTGGCAAAGTATTCCTAAAGGGCAGATTAGGATTGGCCAAAATTGGAGGGCTAATAGACTTTCACTCAATCACAGCTTCAGGCAGATGAGTGAGTGATTCTTCTAAAGCAAAAATAAGAGATTATTATTACATGCTAAGTCTGATTGACTAGTGTTGGCCTGCTTAGAAAATTGCATTGAGAAGGATTTGAAAGTTGTGACTCAGCTCCTTCTGAATGCTATGCTTGATTAGTGATGTCTGCCACACATCTGGGAAAGGGGTTACATGTCCGTGTGCTTCATGTTTGCCATTCCTACTGTAAGAGGCCTTCAAGAATCCACACACAAAAAAATTCTGATTTTTGTGCCAATAGAATGAATCATGGATTGATTATACATCAAAGACATGCAGTTAATTTTCTTTTTTTCTTGGTTTTCAAATGAGGAAACTACAAAACGGTTTGCCATGCATATGCATATTGTCATTTTGAAGGATTATTTCAGGGAAAATTTATCCCATCATCACCTTTTGCTCACAATTGAAGGTTCATTTTTTTCACCCAACATTTAAACAAGATTTGGAAAGTTTAATGGAGCTGGATTTATTTCATGCTGCAGCTGTCTAAATGTAAAACGTACGATAGTAACAGTGACTCAACTTACTTGACATTTTTGGAATCCTAATTTCCTCACTGCTGCTTCCATCCCCGCCATCACTGACGGTCCTTATCTCAATCAAGTAGTCTTCTTCAAATGGAACCAGAAGCTCAGCGGATGTGTTGTTTGTTTCCAAAATATGAGTTTTACTATGTCTGTTTTGCCGGTACAGAATCTAAATAAAATGGCGAATCAAGTTAACACGGACGTGCTGCTTTGCTGAGGTTCCGACAACTGTTCTAGAACACTGTACGGCGTATCTTTATAAATGCTGTGCTCCTCAGATGCAAAACCCAGGTGATGTCTTTTCTTTAAATTTAGTTATTCTTGTTAAGAGAACGATTTCTATTTTGGCCAATGTGTCTCCGGATTGAGAGTAGATTTATCTCTATTAATTAAATAGCTTGAGGGTATTATCCTCGGAGCTTGCTGTGAAAAGTCACTGTTTACTTTGGACCCAATTCAAATGTCTAATATAAGCCTCTGCCAAGACATGATGTCCATTACCACCCATAGAAATGATTTCCTCTTGTATTTGACTATACTCTCGTTAGATTTATTTTGTGTTGTTAGAAGATCACATCATACTGTAGCCTAAGTTCTAGAAATTCTACTTAAATATAGTCTTTGACCTCATTTCTCATTTTACATCCACTACCCACATATGTCATCATCTTTTGATGGCAAGGGGAGTGACTTGGAAAAAAAAATGTTGCATCCTGTAGAATTTTATTTTTTTTAATGCTCCATAACACATTACTGGACTTCAGAATATAAAATCTTTTCAATGAATAATTTAAAAGCTGCAAGGGTATTTTCAAAAGAACTTCTTAAAAGATTCTTATGTTTCCATAGACCCACAACTTGTTTTCTATTTGGTTGCTACATGTCTCATCCCTAAGTAGTGTAATTAATATGATTAAAGGAAAAACTAAATACTTACCTTGTAGCCCAGCACTTCAGACTCATTTTCCATGGTTTTTACATGCTCCCAGTTCAAGCATAATTTTGAATTTGTCAGCTTCCAGGCAATGTTTGCTGGTGGTTGGCTTGGAGCTTTAAAAAGATAATCAAAGATCCAAATGAATATTAATTAGTTCATGGTCACTGTATGACGCATCAACATGAAAATGAAAAATATGTCTTTGATGATTAGCATAGAAGGAGCTAAAATGTTTTCAGTTTCAATTGAAATATCATATTAATTCTAATCAGAGTAAGCAAATTTATTCAAATTCCGGTCATTGGGGAATGCCTTCGTGACAGACTTATGAATTAATAATGGCTTGCTGCATGTCCGGTACTAATTTATTAATCACTGCTGTTGAGTTTGTTTACTTTATCATATATTAATATAAATAAATGGAGGATCTCCTTATCTAGGGTTCCATTGGCCATCAGTTGATGAGCATGTTTAGCAAATTCAAGCTGCAAATATTTTATATACATCAACACAGAGATGCTCATTCCTAATAGTCTTTTACTTTAGAATATTGGATTAGATAGGACTTTAGCTATAAGTAACATAACCAACTCAAGATATTTTAAACAAAATATTAGTAATAGATTGTGGAAGATAAAGGGGAATGTCTCAGAACTCATGGCGGAATGCAGCAGAGTCTCAAGAGAGACCAAAAAGAAAAAAAAAAAAAAATCCACAAAACCAAGAAGTTCCTCCCTGCTTCTCACAGCAGTATTTCCTGCATGCTATCTTGCTATAGACCATTCCTTTGTTGTTCTCATTGTTCATGGCAGAAATCATGATTGCTTATCACGTCTTAAGTTTGAAACTTCTCCTATTCAGAGATAGCTCAGACTAGAATTCCTAGGGGAATACTGACTGAATTTGGCCATATGTCTATGTTAGCTTAATCATGTGTGGCTGGACAGTGAGAAAGATGCATGCCATTTAATATAAATAGAGCTGCTGGGAACCCAGAAAAGGGAAAAAATATCACACGCTGTCTGATCATCCCAACGGGTGTCTACTCTAAATCTGAACGGTTGCTTCAGTTCCTTGAAATTAATGTTGTCTGGGAGAGAGGTGGTGGGAAGTAAGGGAGGAAAGATTTAGAATCAGCCTTCTAAAGCAATGGATCTAGTCCAGCTAGAGAATTTGACATACAAGAAAACTAAAGTCCAGGTTGGGAAGTCACTTATTCAATGCAGCTAATGATAGGCTGAGTCAAATCAGAATCCTGCTCTATTGGTTTCCTATCTAGTATTTCTCCAGGACAGCACAGTGCGTCTCAAAGACTTTGAGTCTACATGACTATTTTTTGAGACTTAAGAAACTGGAGAGATTAAAAACAATTCAGCTGGAGAGCAGAGGCAAAGATAAAACTGCCCAGCCAGATGTTTTTGGCGTCTTTTTTGAATGTGTGAGGCTGAATGAGCATAATATTTAATTCATTACAACGCTGATGGAAATGAATTTTTTTTTTTTTTTTGGAGTTTTGACTCAACTTCTGTTTAACGTACATGTCACTGGAAGGTTCACATCCTGCTGGATTCAGGCATCTCACATTGCATTACCGTGATTCCCTTTCCTCCCCAAACCCACTGGGATATCACTATTGTTCATCCAGCCACTTACAGCACAATCAGGATGTGGTAGAGAGAAAAATGTTTCCTTTTATGTTCCCATGAGGCTCGGTTCTTATGTTATTGTGGACTTGTCACATTGGATTATAGTTATTTTTGGTCATGTGTTTTATCCTAAATTTCTTGAAGACATGTGCCTTGTTCAACTGTATTTCCAACCCCTAGCACAATGTCTGGCACACGGGAGGCATGCAATATATATATATATATGTTGAATAAATGACTGTGCAATAACATGGCTAAAGAAAAACACTCAGGGTCCTGTGTCATTTTGTCAGGTCACATTGATTACCACTGAGCTACGGGCAGACACATAGGAGAAACAATACAACCAATCTTTTCAAGGCCAATTGCCATGGTCAGACTCATAGTAGTCCGTATGCATGTACAAGATGGACAGGACAACTGGATTGACCATGTTCTAGTATATTTCTTGACAATGCAAACCCAGCTACAATTAAAGGCCTGCAAGTTTTATGCTTAGTAAGCACTCAATGCAAACTTGTCAATATATTTATTTCTGAAAGGACTGGACAGCAACAATAATGATTTTGTAACTATCCTTCCTCAACTTATTCCAAAGGGCATTTTCTAACGTTGTTCTTAGCTATAAAAGAGATAATATCAAAATTCTCACAAGATATCACAATTTTGATATCTAGTATACTCTGTCAACACATTTCTTTTATCTCTATTCTTTAAAACTAAGCACTGATATTAATAACATCATATAATCAATACTGAGAAAAAATAAATTCACCAATTTTATATCATTAGAAGTGATGGATTCTGAAGATCTTATCTATTTCTGTGTCCGCTTTGTCCATTTTAGAAACAAAGTATTACTTTCGACACTACAAGTCCACTGAGGAAACAACAGGCTAGAAGCCAGAAAGACTAATTTCTACCAACTACGTAGAGAAGCAGTTTGTGATGCTGGAAATAACCTTGTCATTGACATTTGCCTTTGTTTCCCCATCTACTAAAGCAGAAGCAAGACATCTCATGGGCATAAAAAGAAAAGTGTTCTACCAAGAGTGAGTCTTGGTATGAATGACCAATTGTATGGATTATTTAGATTATTTAGATCTCTTGCTATCTGGGACAAGGAAAGAGCTGGGCTTTGACATCAGAGAGATTTGAATTTGTACCCAGTTGCTTCCAAGAGTCCTCGTTTTCCCATCTTTGAAATGAGACTAATAATAATTGCCAGTTTTTAAGATTCTTAGCTTGTATGAAATAAAATATGAAACATCCCATTCCTCCCTTGGTCAGTGGTACATATTAAAAAGCGCAATAACTGTTCATTCTCTTGTTTAAGAGTACAGTTCTCCACTGCGGTGTTATGACATAATCAATTTTTCAATTGTGTTTAAAGTGGTTTGTTACTAATAACACAATTCCGAAGTTTGCAAAGGATCCACTTTTTAAATATAATTAGCATATATTCGAGATTTCCTCTTCATAATATTGCTCTTACTCGGATTCTTTATGTGCTTTTTCAAAGAGAGATAAAGTGGGAGAGTCTTGGCTAATTATCTGGGAAGTTCTTATAGTTTATAGCCTTTCTTATCTTTGTCCCTGAATGTTTATTGTTTATCCAATGTCAGTCCCTTATATCTGGTATTTAAAAAGAGAAGCTTCTGGAGCTGCTTTAGAAGGTCATCACCTTAATATGAGCACTATTAACAGTTCTGATTCGATGTGGTTGATTAAACTGGATTGCAGATATCAATGATGGAATTAAGATTTCTATTACCTTGAGAAAAGTAAACACTGTCACCTGGGTATGAAACACATGTCATGATACGTGTAACAAGTTTGTCAACGTTGAACTCAACAACCAAGCACTTTTCTAGTTTTTTTTTTAAATCTTTCCAAGCAATATCCAAAGACTGAATCATTTTCTATTAATCAAATGACAGAGCAACATTAAACTAGCCCTTCACAGCTCTAACGGTTTCCCTGTAATCAATTTTTCTGTAGATGGCATTTATATTCAACTGTAGTTCACACTGTGAACTCAATTCAAAAACAACTTCTTATGTTACACTTCTAAGTAACAGCATGGGGTTGACATTTGGGCAAAAAAGAAAGAACATAAGTGCAAGATGAAATAAAAGCTTAATGCTTTCTTTATGTCTAAATATGGATTGATTGCATATTTACAGCAGAAAGGAATCCAGTACAGAGTGCTAGTCAGTCAATGTCAGGGGCCAAATTGAGCCAAAATTTGCAAACACTTTCTGATACAGTGTCTGAATACTTGTTTCTATATAAAAAGTGTTTTGTTTGTTATATTTTTCCTTCTCCTCTTGGAATTGATGTAAATAGTTTTGTTTTTTTTTTTTTCCTTTCCTTGTAAATCTAAACTCCACTTAAGTTATGTCTGTGTGGATCACAGTATATTTGCAGTCTCTCTGAGTTGCCTTTTGGAAATATATCATCTTCACTAAGCTGTGGTACTTACAATGGAATCCCTGATATTTATTTAAGAACAATAATAATAGCACTAGTATAGTCATCATCATCATCATCATTCTTCACTAAGCTGTGGTACTTACAATGGAATCCCTGATATTTATTTAAGAACAATAATAATAGCACTAGTATAGTCATCATCATCATCATCATCATCAATAGCAACAATAATAACTAAGGCTGAAGAAGCTTTGCATATGCTTTTTTTTCTTCATCTTACTTTTTTATAATTCATTTCATTTCTTTGTCCTTTTCTTGTTTTTGGTTGCCTCCCCTCTAAAAGAGAAATCACCTGAAGGTAAGGATCTTGCCTGCTTCATTGGCCATTAGGTTCTCAGCACTTAACCCTGTTCATGGCTCATGGGAAGCATGATTTCTTGAGTGAATGACCGAATCATCCTATTTTTCCCAACAAAGGCTCTGTCTTCTGTTTAGCTTAGTCAATTAGAATATGCAGATATTTTGATAACTGTGAGCTCTACTTTCTCAGAGTCTACAATGGAAGATCAAATATCAGATTAAAAATCGAAACAGTGACAGTCTAAATGTGTGATGAATGAAGAATTTTTTTTTTTTTTTTTTTTTTTTTTTGCTGTTACCACTTTTCAGAGGTAATCTTGATGTCATCTCAAGGACATAGAAAATCCGAGTTACACCCAGGGATAGCATTATTTGGCATCAGGGCTATCTTCAATGTTTCATTAAAGCTGTTTCTCATCTATGCTTTGGATGTCCTTCTATGACCCTTAAAGAAAATTTCTGCAACATATTTTTAAAGAAAAAGAAAGCAGAAAGTAGCTGTGCTTTCCTATTTTAAAAAATGCAAAGGAAGTGAAATCACATAAAAGAGGAGCATAATAATACACGTTACCCACACTGAGCCCTGGTGTATGACAGCCTCTGGGTCACTGTGGTGTACCTTATATCCTCCTGTTCTCAGAGCAAACACGAGAGGTAAGTATCATCTGTGTTTTCTAGATGACAAAATGCATTCAGAGTTATCAAATAATTAGACCTGTCACACAGATAAGTATTAATATGTGGCTGAGCTGGGATTCATATCCAAATTTCACTCACTCTGAAGTCCCATTCTAACTCTTTCCAACACTGTCTCACAATGGGCCAAAGTTGTAAGAACTCCCAGAAAAGAAAAATGTGAATACTTGAAAGAGGAAACTTTCGTTAAATTATGGAGTGGAGAAAGGAGAAAGGACGTTTGACTGTTGATAGGTGTGGCAGGAACACTACAAGCTGAAAAAATTCCATGAAGACAGGTAAGCGAACTTCAAACTTTAGAAGACAAGTAAAGGTGGTACTTCTAGGGCTAGATAAAGAATGGGATAGAAGGAACTTTCAGATAGATTATGAAAGATCTCGTCTGCCTTCTTCTTAGTCTTCAGTCTCTGGAATAGAGGAGACAATGGCATTTGGTGGGGAGCAGAGGAGTGTGATTGCATTTTATGAAGAAAAATCTCAAAGCAGTTTGAGGTTTAGACTGAAGATATGGGAGTTGGGAGGCAGAGGGACTGTTTAGATGGAGAAGAAGATTATGAACAAGTCCAGTGGTAACGAAATGAAGAGCTTTCATGGTCAGAGTGTATAAGTCTAACAGATGCCATGACAAAACTTTTCTAGCATTTGTGTTCTCCAATGTAGGAATTAAAATCCCAAGCTCTTTGATATGTTATAATAATTCAGTGAGATATGGTATGAGAAAAAAAAAAAACTAATACAGGGCTGGGGACACAGAAGTAGTTAATATTTTAAAATTGTGCTAAGCAAAATAAGCACCCACAACAAACATATTCCCATCCTAATTCCTAGGCCCCATAGAAATGTTACTTTAAATGGAAAAGAGGAGTCTTCAGATTTGATTAAGGTAAAGATCTGGAGATGGGGAAATAATTCCGGATTACTCAAGGTAATCGCAAGGGTCCTTTCGAGGGAAAGAGAGAGACGAGAGAGTGAGAGTTAGAGATTTGATGACAAAAGAAGAGGGTCATAGAGTCAAAGATCTGCAGGGACCCTACATGGCTGGCACTGAAGATGGAGGAAGGAATCACAAGCCAGAGGATGTAGGTCATCTCTAGAAGTCAGAAAACAAGGCAACAAATTCTCCTCCGGAGCCTCCAAAGTTGGTGCAGCCCTTGCACACACCTTGATCTCCACCCAGTCAAACCCACTTCTGACTGCTGACCTCCAAAAATGAGAACAAATTTGTATTGTTTGAAAACACTGTGTTCATGACCATCTATTACAGAAGCGATAGGAAACTGGAACAGTTACTATTCCATTTTCACAATGTCTGTGATATAGACTGTCAAGAGAATGAAGCTAGAGGACTGATTGGCATTCAAATACAATAGGATGGAGACTTCTACAGCCTTCTTCCTCTTAAGTGCTTGTTGGCTATTTTTATAATGACACTGAAGCTTATAGGCTGGTAAAGGCCAAATTTAAGAACTATTGAAATTATATTTTGGTGAAAGAAATTAGGAATTATAAGGGTTCTTTGATATAGTTAAGAAGGCTGAATGCTTAAAGAAACACTAATTTTCACTTTAAATTTTCTGACTATCTTTTCACTTTTCCCTTGGTAGGTATATTCCATGTATGTTGGGTGAAATTTCTTGTTAATTGAACTGTTTTCAAAAGATGTATCTCCTATTCTTTGATGAGTTGATCATGTGTTAACTGCCAGACTAAGCACCAATAATGTTCTTGGTGTTTAATATAAATTTTAGTCAAGCCTATTTGTAGGACCAATTGGGACAACTGAATAAACTTGTTGTCATAAACAAGATTTCTGCTTAAACACATAGAATAGGTTAGCACAAACTAACACAGGTTTAATTTAGGTTGCATGGACTATCAAACTAAATCTCAGTCAAATTCTTTCTGAGATTTTCTGTATGTCTCTCATATATATTGTATACCTACATGCACATATATATAAAATATGCATGTCTTATGTATGTCATTTGTCATATAGATATATCTCTCTTTTTGAAGTAAATAATTAGTTCATTGTTCAAGCTTCAATCCACCTTAAAATAGTCAAAGGGATTATGTATAATAAAAGTTGACCTGAATCTGGCTCTATAACTGCACTAAAATGTCAGCTTATCATGACACAAATCTGTGTGTTCTAAAAATACTATTTTTACTCACTTTTAATCACCCTTGATTTTGCTTGAGATAGAAACTGAATTGCACATAAGAGGTTTTTGTGAGTTTGGCATCTCTCAATCAGCTAGAACTAAATGTCTAGGCAATCTTAAAACTGCTGATTGATTAGAGATTTCCATCCAGATTTGCAGAAAAAAGTCTGAAGGAGGCAGCCTACCCCAGAAGGAACACAGAAGCAAATCATACATACAGGTATCTGGCAACAACTTAATCAGTTTAGTGAACTTTGAGAACAACACGAAGAGGAAAAGAACTACATCTTTGGGCAACCCATTCTTGAGAATCACTCATAGTCCCTCCTGTCTCAAACTGGGTGGATGGGAGGAAAGCTGGTTCAGGAATTTTTGGTCTATACATATTCTCCCCTTGAAATGAACTGATCCTGGAGGCTTTTTGCTTATATGTTTTATTTTTAGCAGTTCCATAGCACTTTGTACTTTCCAACATGCACTCACAATCAGCATCTCGTTTGTGCCTCATCGATAATTTGGGAAGGCTGTGAGGACAGAGAGAATTTCCATTTAACAGAAAGAAAAAAAAAAGCAATTTATGTAACCAAAATGTTTGTACCCCTGTAATACTCTGAAATTTAAAAACATTAAAAAAAAAAAGAAAATTAAAGCATAAAAATGGAATGTCTTGTTCCGTTTTCAGTCATGAGTTAGTGATGCACCCCAGAATGGGAACACAGGTCTCTGACAGCCAGTCTGGTGATGTGGAGATAATTGGATAATCTATTTCATCAAGGACATATTAATTGAAAAGATTTAATTGAAAAACTTTAATACCATTTGATTTCCAAACTCTACTCAACCACCTCTTCTTTCCAACACAGAGGAGTTGTCAGAATACGGCATTTACAGGCAAGCTAGATTTGTCCTTATGTCAGTGGCAATACATTTTTCTTAGTCTTTCTCAGAATCCAGCAGCTATATTTGTTATTATCTGTTCATCAGGATTCAGAAGACAAAAGATGTGTTTTCAAAAGCTTATGTACACCGGGCGCGGTGGCTCACGCCTGTAATCCTAGCACTCTGGGAGGCCCAGATGGGTGGATTGCTCGAGGTCAGGAGTTCGAAACCAGCCTGAGCAAGAGCGAGACCCCCGTCTCTACTATAAATAGAAAGAAATTATTTGGCCAACCAATATATGTAGAAAAAAACTAGCCAGGCATGGTGGCGCATGCCTGTAGTCCCAGCTACTTGGGAGGCAGAGGCAGCTGGATAGCTTGAGCCCAGGAGTTTGAGGTTGCTGTGAGCTAGGCTGATGCCACGGCACTCACTCTAGCCTGGGCAACAAAGCGAGACTCTGTCTCAAAAATAAATAAATAGCTTATGTATGTGAATAATTTGTTTATTAATGACATATAAGGAATGCATAAACATTATCCAATCACAAAATTACCTATTGCAGCTAGCTACTAGGAAGTCTTTTCAGTTCAAACCTCTGCTAACTTACTATGGAGTTTCCTATTATGAAGTATTTGTGCAGTGCCAGACTTAGTTAGAAAACAAAGGCAGCAACAATCAGCCACTCTTCTTTTATTCCATAGATGCTGACTACCTGACAGACACCTCGCTGATTATCAAGAAAGAAAAGAAGAAAAAGAGTCCATTCTTAGATTCCAGGGGCTTCTGAGTAAACTATAGTGCTAAGAAGATATCCTAAAAGGAAAGATCTAGGTGCATCTGACAGTGCCAGGGTGGACTCTAGGACTCAAACGATAAACAAAACAAACATGAACAAAAACCATTCACTAAGCATTTATTAAAGTATATGCTGGGCACTTGTTATTAATAATCTCTTTCAACCTTGAATGAAATCCTATGAGAACACAAGTACTATTTTCTCCTCATCTTGCAGGTGAGGCTACTGAGACCCTGAAGGATAAATAACCACCTAACGTTCCAAGGATGGAAGGTCAGTTTTGAACTCATTTGAGGGGAGCGTATCTAAGACAGTGTGCTGAAACCTTACACTCTCCTGTCTTTCATCTAGGTACTAGGAGAATTTCCTCTTTTGGAATTCCAGAAAGATCAGAACAGTTTATTTTGATTATCACCAGAAAGTTTCAATGATTATCCATATTTAAGGGACACATCAACTAGCCAAACTACCCAAGCAGTACAATGATGAGGAGGGGAGAATGAAATGGACATTGAGTGAAGCAATAGGTTTCTATTCATGGATCAATCTCACCCCTGCATTGTGATGTGTACTTACGGGATTTTTTGGTGGTGACATTGACTGGGGGGCTCGAGGGCCCTGTCCCAGCAGTGTTGTAAGCTCTCACAGAAGTGAAGTAGATGGTATTAGCTTTCAGCCCTGTGATGTTCTTGGTTGTGACATTCCCACTGACTCGAATTTTACCAATCATGGATTCTTTGGAATCATCTGTCCAGTATAATACCTGAGTATTGAAAACACAAAACAAGCAGGTCACTGTTTCCCAACAACTATCAATCCCAAGGGGTATGGGAAGAAAACAAGAGCATAGATGACAAAAATGTTTTCTAATTGAAACGGTTACACAATGATGACAAAATAACTGAAGACTAAACATTTATAGTGAAGAAATTAAAAATATAACATATAAATACAAATTCACAATGGAAATTAGAGAACCTAGGCTTTTTTTTGATTAGAAAAATAAAGTGTTTCATGAGACAGCTAAAGGTTACCAACTTTAATAAAGGATATATAATAAGCTAAGCCGAAATAAATTTCATATGATCAAAGACTTTGATTATAAAGTTTTACTATTGACATTTTCTCCAGAGTTCTTTTAATCACAGATTAATTTCATTTACAGTGAGCTCTTCTTAGGTGTTAGCATTGTTTTAGGTACATTGAGTGTTGAGGAAATATGATTGAGAAATTAATGAGATGTGGCTCATAAGATCATTATTTTATTATATCGCCCAATATGGCTATATTAAAGACAGAAACAGGGGTTTGCAGGGTTTTGCTCTGAAGAAACATATGAACTCATTAGTTTGCCTATCAAGGGCTGCGTCCTCTTGGGAGGGCTCTCAAAGCTCCAGTACAGATGCATTCCAGGAAGCTTCTCTCGGGCTGTGAGGCCTTCCTGTTCTTGAAAGACAAGGCAGGTAACTATCTGGCTCACAGGATGGGAGCCAGAGACAATGAGTGCCCTAGGCAAGAGATGCACCCCTTGTTATGAACAATTTGTTTTATACAGGTGGGCTTCCTGCTGTCTCCTGACTGCCTTAAGTCCACAATAACTAGATCAAAGAAATATAGAGCCAGGATACCTCTTTGTTATTCCTCTGCTAATTGATAGCTATCTCTTAGAACTTAGAAGTTAGTCCTTAAAAGACTTTGTAACTGTTTGTTCACCTAGATAGATCAGAATTTGTTAGAAGCCCTTTGAAAGAACTTTTGACCCTAACCCACTACAACTGGTAATTGATATCTGTGACTATAAAAACCTATATGAATCTAACCTCGGGGCCGCACTACTGACGGAGATGCGGTGTAGACTCCTGAGTACCCCTGGTTTATCTAAATTTCTTTATATAAATCTATAAAACTATTCCTTAGTGTTTGTGTATTCTTTTATTCTCTCTATTTCCTATCAATTTCTTATCCTCGGTGGTGACAACTACCTAAGGGACCTGCTTCCGTGGGGAACAGCTGATCTCCTCGCAGCCCTGTGCCCCGCATTTGAGAAAGAAAAAAGAGAATAAAGCTTAGCACTTGTTTTCAAGCCCTTTATCATCTAGCTAAGAGGTTAGACTATGTAAAAAACAATAATAGGACTCATTGCAAAGAAATGATATAGAAAAAAATGCTGTAAAAATTTGAACAAAGACAACATCAGGGATTGATGACATAAGAGTTCAGAGAGAAGAGGAGACTATAGATGAGCTTTGAGACACAAAGAGGGTTCAATAAGTGGTAAGGTATTTTCAACATGGAGAGGCAAAGACACCTACCACATGAGTAAGACACGAAGGTTCATGTAAAAACAAACAAAAAGTGCAAAATAAAATTAAGGATATTTACAATCATACATTTATTCTAACTCCAAAATACAACAGACTATGTTACCCATTTTGTGAATCATTGGATTCTTAAGTTGAGCAATGAGCAACTAACAATTTTCCCTAAACACATCCTCATCCCTGAACTTTTTGAAAATGAAAGCCTACAAATGTGACTTGCCCCATTCTTCATACACTAAAAAGAACAGATTTAGGAGAATCTAACTATTTTCATTATCACTATGTGCCTTTTCCAAGATGATTACATCTTTTCAAGTCATACTCCAATTCACCGAGAATGTTCCCCCGTGAAATTCTTTTATGATTTAAGATCATTGAGGATTAGATTTTACCTCTCCCCAAGAAACAAAATGGCTGCCACTTGACTGATTAAATAAGAAAATCATCTGATCACTTTTGAAACATTTTCTTGTGCTAAGAACACTTAACATGAGACTTATCCACTTAACAGATTGTAAGTGTACAATACATTATTGTTGACTCTAGGTGCAAAATTGTACAGTAGATCTCTAAAGCTGGCCCATCTTACTTAACTGAAATTGTATGCCTTTTAAAATGACTACCATTAGTTAATTTGTTTGCTTAAGATTACCTAGAAAGATCCCCCTCACTCATTCCCATAGTATGTGACAGGGACTAGGTTAGCAGTATAGGACTGTCAAACAGGAGCTAAGGTATAGTTGGCTGGAGCATTCACAAGGGAAAGTGAAATTAATCTGGATTACCTCATAGCCCAGCACTCTTCCAGTGTTTCTATTCCAGGCAATTGCATTCCATGAAACCTCCATTTCAGAAGCAGAAAAACTCTGGACAGAAATTCCCCTCGGGGCCAACTGAGGTTCTACCATCCAGAGAAAGACACAACCATTCTTAGCAGAGTGGAAAACAGAATGCAGAATATGCATAGAGTCTCAAGGAAAACCATTCCGGAGCTGACTGACAACTTACCATCTTCTCCGGAGTAGACAATGGACACAGTACTCAGGGATCCTTCACCTTCATTATTATACACACCCACTTTGACTTCAAAGGGAGAAAGTGGGATGATGCTCTCATTTCTGTAAATAAACCTTGACGATTCTACAGATGCTACTCTTTCCTTGGTCCAGGTTGTCGAGCCTACTGGCCGGAACATGATGATATATCCAAATCCCTCTCCATTCTGTAGCTCTTCTGGAATTGACTTGGGCGGAATGTGATCAATCATTGAGTATTTGCAAAAATATTTTATTGAGCTATTACAATGTTTATTGATTATCTGGCATTTCTTCTGTAGAGACAAACATGGGTATTTGCCCTGTGTAATGATGAACTTAAAATACTTTTATTTGGAATGCCAATTAGAAAAATGATCCCAATTAAAGGTACTCAGATAAATAGTTGAAGCTTCAAATACAAATATAAAACAGGCTTCGCATATTTATATCTTTTTCTTTGATCACTCATAAATTGTCATAATAAAATAGCTTACAAGATTTTATGATATAAGCTAAAATATAATTTTGACATGAATTTTAAAACTCAGCACAAAATTAAAACTTACTATTTATTTCAAGGCTAGATGTTTTCCTTTCACAACATTTTCAACAAATTCTTGTAAGATGTGGGTAATTATTACATAATAACATACAGTTTAAGATATGGAGTACTTCTAAAAAAAAAAGTAGCAAAGTCTTTTTTAGGAATACATCTTCATTAATAGCACCATCGTGTGCATTTTTCCTGACATAAAAAAATGCGTTACTAACTCACATAGAAATCAAATTCTTCATAAAATACATTTCAAATCTACAATTACTAAAATTATAAGACAGAAATAGAGACACGTTTCCCAAGAACTCTGCAGATATTAAAAAAATCATAAATATTCACATACACTAAGCAAATTAAAACGAATTTGTGCTTGAATTTAGTTAAACATTCTAACTGATTACAAGAAACTTGGATTGAAAAAAATCAATGGAATTTATTTGGTTTTTCCTAAGGAAAATGCTTTTCTTTTCTTCTGTTTTCTAGATATTTTGGTAAGACTAATAAAGGCATACAGGACAGGACAGAGTGCTCTAAGTCCCTTATGCCCACAACTCCCTTTCAGAGGTGTCCCTTCACCTTGCCAGTAGGAGTGCATTGGTTGTATCGCATTATCCTGCCACTTGGAGCTCATCTGGATTACCCAGTTATGGGCACCAGAGGCAAAGGCGCCCCCTTGGGTCAGCGTCTATGCAGTGTTCTGGAGCAGAATCTTTGCAATCTACCCTAACTAACAGACTCAGTGGATTCCTTCCACTTACAGAGTTTGCATCTGAAACACGATGGTGTGGGAGGGCGTAATAATACATAAGCATAGAGCAGGCAGTAAGTAGAAACCACGCAGCAGAATAGGAACACGGAGGCAATAGAAGCTAAGAGAAAACAGAAGCTGTCAATTAGAGAGAGGGGGGAGACAGAATTTAGCTGGCAGCCAGGTAGGAAATTGGAAATAAAAGAAATGGGAAGAAGCGAGGTACAAGCATGAAGGACTATTCAAGCCAGGGCTGGGTTACCAGAGGGGCTGGCAGTTGGCTAGAGCTGTCGTGCTCAGGTGCTCGGAACAGTGATGAACGATGTTCCGGTCTTCATTTGACCTGCCTGCTTGGTCGCTGAGACTTTTTCCTGTCCTCATTACTTCCCATGTAGCTTTAAAATAAATCCCCATTAACCGAGATGACCTGAGCTGGTCTCTACTTCTTGCCATGTGCAACAATCTAACAAATACAGAAAGCGAAGAGAGGAGGAAAAATACGGCTCCTGACATGTGGGGAAATAAAATGCTTCCTTGCATTCATGCTTCTCCCTTTTATTTTTCTTTTCTTTTCTTTTTCTTTTTTTTTTCTTTTTCCAGGGAGATCACAATTATAACAGTTTTGAATGGGATGGAGGAGATTGATAAGAATTTAAGCTACTTGTCAGAGCATTTGATTTGTTTTTGATGCTTTTTGATCTCAGACTTAATCAACATGCTTAGTTCATCTGAGTAAACAGAGGACTTTTGTTTTTGTTAGTCAAGTACAATTAGTGTTTCTCATGGAGTTCCCGCGAGAAAGATCTAAGTCCAACATGTGCATTTTAGAGGGGGAAAAAAGAGACTTATTTTATGTTCTTGCTTTTATTTTTCTCATATGGACACAAAGTCAAATGATGAAGATATATTTCTCTCTCTCTCTCTCTCTCTCTCTCTCTCTATATATATATATATATATATGTATGTATATCTCTCTCTATATATATATGTATGTATATCTGTATCTATACATCTAGCTCTTTCTCTCTCTCTCTCTAGATATATATATATATATGAAAATATATATAGAGATATATATAGCTATTTAATATGGCCAGAGAGTTTTCTCCTTTAAATACAGAAAGGGTCCAATAGAATAAAGAACTTGTGAAATTCTCCTGGGAGTGAAATTTATCAAAATTGACAAAGATTAGTAATAAAATTCTCAACCACAGTTTCTGTAAGAACTAAATCTTTAGTTTAGACCAAGGATCAGCAAACTATGGCCTTCTAGTTCGCAGCCTAGTTTTGAAAAGCAAGGTTTTGAGACACAGCCACACCTATTTGTTTGTGCATGGTATAGGGCTGCTTTCGAGCTACAATGGCAAAGTGCAAAGTTACAAAAGACATCATGTGGCCCAAAAAGATGAATATTTTTGCTATCTGGTCCTTTGCATGAACAGTGTGTCAACTCCCACTGTAGGAATCTATCTCTTCTATAGTACTTTATCCTATACACCCAATTTTATAGTCATATTTTATATAAGACACTTGCCACAAGCACCTCAAACTCAGAAGTATTTGGGAGTATAAATTATGACAAAATGATGACTAAAGATGCCCTTAAAAATTAGCAATTGCTACATTCCAAAAGTTTGGTATCATGTCCAGGTTCTGGGTAACAAAACAAACCAAAACAAACACAAAATACAGATTATGGTGGCACTAGAGAAAGCACAGGGAGGATATTTAGTTCAGGCAGATGATATCACAGTGTGCTCGAATGGGCAGCGATCTGGATAACCAGCAAAGCTGTCATTTATAAATCGTAATGATAGCTTCGGACTGAATTTAGGGTGTTCTTTGGATCCCACGTTAGTTCTGAGAGTCCCAACAGGTACGATTTCATCTGCGATAGCAGTGACATTGGCTCGGAATGGTCTCTCTACTTCCAAGTTATTTTTTAAAACATAGTTCAGCTATGCTCAGAGGGTGTGTTCCCTAACCATCCTGGTCTGCGGGCCCCTGAGCATTCATTCAGACACTTTCTTACTCATTTTTATACTCCCACCGATTGGAACAGAGTAGCTACTTAACAGAGTTCATTAAATTGAAAGAGTTACTCCGCACATTCTGGTGACTCAAACTAATGCATGCTTCTTTTCCTAAACATAAACTCATTCCTTAAGGCAGTTTGGGCACCTGAATTTGGCTCAATATCTGCATGTATATAATGTCAAATATGATTGGTAAATGGGGAACTGCATCCATTAATATAGTTTCTGCGTATCTCATATTTCCAGAAAAAAACAGAGGAATGACTTTAATTTAATATATTTTTCTGTAAAGGAACAGATAGTAAATATTGTAAGCTTTCTGGGACATAAAATCTCTTGCAACAGCATGAAAGCAGCAATTCCCAACATGAAAAAGAAGGGGCATAGCTGTGGGGAGACTTATTTACAAAAATAAGGAACTGGCCAGATTTGGCCTAGGGGCTGTGGTTTGTGTACCCTTGCTTTAAATAAAAAAAGAACATTATGAATTGCATAAAGACAGTTTTCTTTTGGCAATTCATACTCGTCTCTATTTAAAAATCATATGCATAGGGTATATACGCCCACCCATGCATGTTTAGACTGTGCAAAAACAATTACACACCAAAATTTAGGAATATCTGACCATGGAGGAGAAAAAAAATAAGTTATAAAGTCAGGCAAAACTCCTCGTATGCTATGAAGAAAATGCTTCCGTAGCCTTTGAGGAATATTGAAAACTAAATAAACTACTCACCATCAAATAAAAGCGATTCTCTTAGACACTCAAGAGTCAATGTTTTTGTGGGAAATATATTTGAAGTAGCAGATATAATGTGATTAACTTACTACCTAAGGTAGAGGCACAAGGACTCAGGCCCACACTAAGTCATTGAATTATGTGGGGACAATTGGAATTATAATGAAGGATGAAGTCAAGGAACATGGAGGCAGAGGCCTGTGTTCAAATGACACCACATTTTTAACCCTCAATTTTCTCACCTGAAAGTGGTATTACCCACCTTTTAGGATTGTTGTGGACAGTGAATGACATGAAATGCTAGGTGTGGCATCTGAAACCCTATAAATGCCCAACAAATATGGTTTCTGTCTCTCTCAGGCCTCCGAGAGTCCCAGCCCACCCAGTACACTGCCATCCATTTGACAAGTACTTATGGAGGAGGGGCCACATTGCAGGCACTGCGCTAGGCCCATGATGTCCACATGAGACAGGACGTCAAGAAGAGAGGATGACATTCAGGACAGCCACACTTGGTTTCTGACTCTGTCATTCATAGCCCTGAGAAAACGACATCTCTGTTTCCCAGTTTTCTCTCATGGCCTAGCTAGGTGAGGGTGGCTTCAGAAGGAACTACGTGGTCTGTATTTTCTAGAATTTGGGGGACGTAGGTTCTTTTAACTGACAAATGCCTAAGAAACTTCTGAAATGGAGAGTGGTCTGAACAGCCTCTGGTGGCAGCGTAGAAGGAGAGGCTGAGTGAGAGTGTGCATTGAGCTTCCAGCAAACATGGAGCAAAGTTCATGTGCTTGCTAGAGGCAAATGTGGAACCCAAGCAAGGGAGTCCTCTGTGGCTGGGCTTGAAAGAAACTCCATCCACAAAGACAACCGGGAAGAAAGGCTCTTGACCAGCAGAGTCTGGACGTGGACCACCAGAATCCAAGAACTGATGAGACTCTTCAGCAGCCAGTTGGGTCTGCCCCAAGGAATTGCAATGGGCGGTTCCCAATAGGGGACCTGCCAGGGACCACTGCCCCCAAGCAAAAACAGTAACAAAACAAAACAAGACCAGTAAGCTGTGAAATACCAGCATCTGGTCATTTGCCATATTTGGCATTACAACAAGGCCAAATTACAAATACATCAACAATTAGGACCTTTTCTACCTCTTTTCTCTCCTCCCAACCCCAACTGTCTATGATTCTGGAAAATTCGGGGGTAACACAATGAATGAAGGAGGGCAAGTTCAAGAGAAAAATGAAAAATTGAAGAACTGTCTACATATTCCCTTTCACACCATAGAATCAAACAGGGTGAGATAGGCCTGAGCTACTGAAAATGAGAAACTTTCGGTTGGTTGAAAGCCTAAAGTTTATGATAATAAACCAGACTGAATTTTGTAATAAGTGAAAAAAAATCAGCGTATATCTTAACATTTGAGAACAATGATTAGAACATCTATTCCATGTGCCTAAGCTTCCATGATGCTGGAAAAGAACACATTTATGGGATATAAAGAGCAACCTTGGGGTAAGAATTTTTTTTTTTTTTTTTGCTTGTAACTCTGCAAATTTCACCTCCTTCACAAGAGACAGTACCATATGTAATAAATAAAACAATGCCTAATTTATCAAGTAATAATCAAAATGGTAGGGACGCACACTCAAAAGATATTGAAGTTGTTTTTCATATATTTGGGAGAAAATTGTGCTGAGTTCATCATCCTCTCTCACTTTAGTAAAAATAAGAAAAGTTTCTAATACTTCCTCTAAATAATTCATCATCAGGATGATGTACTTTTATACCATCCATTTTTTATATATTCTCAATAGTGATCAAGTAAATCTTGTTTTTTGTTTTTCAGTCTTCTTCCTGGCCAGCTAAATCTTTTTCCTTCAAAATAACTCAGTTGGACCGAAAATTACCTCCCACGTAATGACGAGTTCAGACCGGCTTCCTCCACCTCCTTTGATGTTTACTGGTGCCACAACAGGGACTAAAAAGTAACCGGGGAGAGACATGTGGGATGGCAATGATTAAAGGATGTCTTCATCAGGAAGAATTTTGTTTTTTGGACTTCACCTTTCAAAATCTCACGCAGGCATATTGTGAGCGAGCTTTGCATTTTTAATGAACATAAATTATGTTTACACATATCCAAATTTCTAAGAGAGAGGACACAGTTGTGTTTGATACATGAGCACCCTGGCTCCAAAATTAATTAAAAATTGAGTAACATCGGGTATTTGACATTATTATGCATCATCTACTAATTGGCAAAATGATGTTCCATTCAGATGGTAACTGTGACACTGCTGATTTAGTGCCTAATTATACAGTTGTGCTGTAAACAAGTTACTGAGGCAGCATATTAATTAATTATTTGTTCAATAAACAAACTCAAATAATTTTTCTCATTATTAGTCGCCGGGATATTTTAACATTTAAAATTAAAAGCTTAAGAATAGGCAAATAAATACATTCTTGCTTTCCAACTCCTTGTTTGAGGAATCTCACATCTCTCAGGAGAGAACAGGAGGGACTTTTCTGCTAACTTTTCACTTACAAAGTCGGAGTTTTCTCCTGTCAAGCATGTGAGTAGGAGAGACTCCCTCCATGGTAAATCCACAGAGCCTGAGATCAGAGACCAATAATTTTGGTGAATTAGAAAAAAAAAAATGTGCCCTTTAACTATACTTTCGTAATCACTAGTATAATGAATACTAGTTCAAGGTAAATTGTAAAATTAATGGCAATTGAGAGTGTGCACAGGGTATTGTAGTGTATAGCCAGAATGAGGATTTACTTTACTATATCTCTTAAAAAGAATTATTTCTCTTGACATGGCAAAAGTATCCTAAATCAGTGATAATGGTTAAATCTTCAGAGAAAACGTCTATAATATTGAATTACATGAAATTGTCTATACTGGACTATTTTTGACCAATTGCCAGAGGTGGGGTGGAATCACCTGGGTGTGGTTGGGGATTGGCAGGCAGGATATGATGAGTTTTAATTGCTCATTTCAACTTTTTTCCCATGATAGAGACCATCTAAATAAATGTAGAATACTTATTTTATTTATTCCAATTTCAGAGTTTCAATGCAAAAATCACATAGTGATATAATAATCTGATTGTTCGTTTTCAAAATAGCACCAGTCAGATATACATTTTTATGTTCAAATTTATGTTAATCTTGTCTTTTGTGTTCTTTATTATTTTTTTAAAAAGATCACTTGAACCCAAGTCTTCCAACGTTGTTAGTCAAAAGCAATGTGAATCAGAGTGGATCCAATGTAGTTGCTGGATTTATAGTATCAAATATTTGACAGCTTACAATGACACTATGTCAGCCCCTATGCATGGTTTAACTATGTAGGGAAAATGGTTTTAAATTATACTTTGATTTACTCTCAATAGTTACCACTACTCTAAGAAGCAGAAAGTTCCTTTCTTTATGCAATTTCTAAATTAACTGTGCTTTAACCTGAAACTATATTGAAATGTTAGCCTCTGATGATATTGAAAGAAGAGAGAGAGAGAAGAGAGGGAGAGAGACACAGTATGTTATGAATCAGTATGAATATCACCAGTTCATTATGCTACTGAAACAACAGCATATTAATAGTTAGTAGAAGGTGGCACACAAACTTTACTATAAGAACTTCAGAGTTTGGGTCAACCCTGCCCAAAGCTACCAAACATAAATCAGCTATAAATAAACTATCAGAAACTAAAGTTAATATCCAGAGTCATGGGTCACACTTGGAGATTCGGATCCAATGAGTATATGGTAGTGCTTAGGAATTTCTGTATTTATATACTTCCTTTGGCTAATCTATTGTTCATCTAGATTAAGACCCACTCTTTTGGAGAATGCTGGGTGCAGAAATCAGGAGGTCTGGATTCAAACCCTGGCTCTGTCAGAAACAACCAGCTAACATCTCGGTCTTCATTTTCCTCTTTAAAATGAAAGAATTGCCTCTCAGCTCTAAATTTCTAGCATGATTTAACTTGATGATGTCACTGTAAAGTATTTTTATTTATTTATTTTTTTGAGATGGAGTCTCACTCTGTCACCCAGGCTGCTGGGGTACAGTGGCACGATCACAGCTCACAGTAGCCGTGAACCCCTGGGCTCAAGTCTCCCAAGTAGCTGGGACTACAGGTGCATGCCACCATGTCTGGGCAATTTTTTGGTTTTTTTTTTTTTTTAGAGACAGGGTCTCCCTATATTGTTCACGCTGTTCTTAAACCCCTGGCCTCAAAGTGATCCTCCTGCCTCAGTTTCCCTAGTAGCTGGGATTACAATCACAAACCACCACACCCAGCTAAGTATGTTTCTTTCCTAGCCCCAATCCTATGATAAAAATACAACATTGCCTTTAGTTTAAAAATTGAATTTTGACATCTGACAGTTGTCCACACTTTATTGAGGGAGTTCGTGTTTGTTAAATTGAATCAGCGACAACAAAGTGATCCTTTATTTACGTGATTAAATGAGAATGTGAACTTTGCGAGCTGCATACACTGGGCAGATCAAATGTCACCCTAGATGTGAAAATTTGAGTGGAACAAAGAGGAACCCATTGAAAAGAGCTTAAAAGGTGTGATTTCTGAGCCAGGTTCCACTTGTGTTCTGCTGTTCAGTGAACCAATTAATGCTCAATTAGTGCTTCTGTTAAATGAGTTTACGATTTACCTCATTTGCATGGAAAAGAATTTATACTATTGCTCAATGAAGCTGCAACTAGGTCAGAATTGAGAAGTAGATGAAAATGTATGGCTGACTGCACCAACAGAGTCTCAATTAAGTCTTGGCTACAACATTTTCATGAAACAAGGGGTAGTTCATTTGCATCTACAAATTTACAGATTCTCAATTGCATTTTGACTCAAAAAATAGATGGGATATAAACATAGCCTCTCTGAAAAACTCATATTTTGACATGCCTGCTTATCAGTAATCATATCTTATTGAATGTACTACTTGGGGGAAACACACCTTTTGCATTGTGCACATTAAAATGGGGAAATGAGAGTCATTGGTTTACTGTCTCTGTATTTTGAGCCAAAAATACTGCAAGACCCATAAAAACACTGCTTAATTGTTTTCTTTAAGAACTGTAACAGAAAGGATCTCCCACATTTTTAGAAGACGTTGATGCTTTACCTGATGGTTTAGTTCTTAACAATTCTGATGGTTTACTCGGTTCTCCGATCCCAATGCTGTTCCCGGCAACCACACGGAATTCATACTCCACCCAGGGACTCAAGCCAACCACCGTTGCATTGTATGTCTTACCATTGAGAATTTCTGGAACTGGAAAGAACAGGACACATAAGGCACCTACATTGGCATTTGTCAAAAAACAAATAGTTATAAAAAATTAGACAATTCTTATTGAAAAATTCATTAGATTGCACTTATTAAAATACTCAATTAAAAAGTACAGTGTTAGAAAATTATCCAAAAACACTTTTTTGCGAAGCTAACCTGTAGCAACAGCCTGCCAACCCACGGAGAACGGTGTCCGAGTCTGAATAGTGAATATCTGAATGGGGCTGTTATTATCTGGGCCTGGCCTCCAGCTTAGACGAGAAGTAGTACTGGAAACGTGCTCGACCTTCACAGCCTCCGGAGGACCTGGGGGACCTTGAGAAAGGTGTTTTATGATGACTGTATTAGAGATAATTAAATTCATTGATTTGAGACAAGGATGGTTTATTTTGACCTGTTATGCTTAGAAAATAAAATACTTATTGACCGTAATGTATTTGTAGCACATGATTAGAGATAAAGTCCTATTAATTCGGCTTACACGATAAGACGTTAATATAGAAATGCTTCCTTTACAGATTAGAAAATGCCAATCATGGGATGGTTATATATCATCAAAAACTGATAATCATTCTCTTTAATTTCTCTCTCAAAAAAAAATCTAATTCAAGTAAATGCAACTAATATGGAGAACTACAGGCGTATGTGGATTTGATCCTGCTCTGATGAGAATGATTTATTATAAACAGAATGCAAGTCTGAGTTTTCTTTTTCTTTCTAATTTTGTTTAAGATATTTTTGAGACAGAGTCTCACTCTGTCACCCAGGCTAGAGTGCCGTGGCATCAGCCTAGCTCACAGCAACCTCAAACTCCTGGGCTCCAGCAATCCTCCTGCCTCAGCCTCCCGAGTAGCTGGGACTACAGGCATGTGCCACCATGCTTGGCTAATTTTTTTCTATATATCTTTAGTTTGTCCAGCTAATTTCTTTCTATTTTTAGTATAGATGGGGTCTCGCTCTTGCTCAGGCTGGTCTCGAACTCCTGATCTCAAACGATTCACCCGCCTCCACCTCACGGAGTGCTAGGATTACAGGCATGAGCCACCGTGTCCAGCCAACTCTGAGTTTTAATAAGTGACACTGCTTGCTGAACCTCACCATTCATTATAAACAGATAAAATCTACTCAATTCAGTATTCATATCTATACTACCTATACCCTGGAGTTTTGGGTTTTATTAAAAATAAAAAAAAAACAACTATATGATTTTTATCTCATCTCTTGATCATGATGTGATTCCTCAAAGATCTACCATTTAGATACCAACATTTTGACTGTGAATAAACAATGTGACCATTTTTTCACCATTTATGCGTACCTCTAACAATGATATCAGCCACAGCAGATAAACTTTCTAAAGTTGTTTGTACTGTGCATAGGTATTTTCCTGAATGATTTAGCTGAATATTCCTTATCATCAAATCCCCAACAGCTTCCTGCGGACAGAAAGGGAGAAATGGATAAAAATAGAATCACACACAGCAGGTCCTATTCTATTTTTACAGCTGGGTAAATATTAAATATAAAATAACTCTGAAACTAAGCGACGTACTGTATTCATTGTGCTTTCTTATATCTGATTCCTTTTATTATCCCCCTTATTATAATTACATCTAGGAAACAAGTATTTCCATGAAAGACATAAAACAAAATCAAACAAAACAAAAACAGATGCAGCTTCAAAAACAGACAGTGATTATCTATGCAAATAAAGAGGGAGGAGAATCATTATGAAAGATGATGATTCATGTAAAATACTTGATTCATTGTATTAAGCACTTAAAACTCTTCAGTAACTTACTCCTCCAATCCTTTCAAAATGGGCCACTCCTTTTTTTAAGTCTATGACATCTCCATTGAAAGACCACACAAATACAACTTCGATGGCTGGATCATGGGACACCTGGCACGGTAGAACTATACTCTCACCAACTGTCACATCCATTTTGGAAGGTGGGACAGTAATGACAGTCCTTTCTGTTAAGAAAAAAAAAAATATTTCACAAAGCTTATAAAATGCTAGCATCTGGCTAGAAAATACGTATTTTTGAATGATTTCACAATCCTTTGAAATTGTATAAATGCCACTTGGAGTTCTACTATAGCCAGTATGAAAAATTTTATTTTATTTTTTTCAAAGATCTTGTACTTATTATCAGTGGAATGCATTGCTTATAATATAACTGAAGACATAGTTTTATTCATTCTTTATATGGATATAGTTTATAGAAAACTGTCGACCTCCAAAGATGGCATTCCATATACATAGAACGTACCACACCATCTTTGTTATTTCCTTATTTTGAAATTCCCGTTATAACATTATAATTGACACATTGGTAAGAATTATAAATAGTCTATGTTAACTTCATATACTATAAAATGAGCTATGTCCTTAAGATTATAACCACCATAGTTTATATAGAGATTGGCAATCACATGCTTATATTTAAGAGCATGAACGCAACACATTCTATTTTTGACATAGTTCTGATGAAGATGCAACATGAATAAATAAGCTGGAAATTTTCCTTTTTTATCCATATTTTGCAATGTTGGAATTATGCATACTTCATAGAAACCTTCCCTCTAGAAATTTCAATCGCAATGTCAACACTTGTTCTACAAGTTGTAGCATTTCATTGACCAGAATTTCAAAAGACAATTCCAATAGTGTTCCAGTTGTACTGAAGAGTCTTATATTTTCTAATTAAAAGACTCGTAATGATAGATCACTTTTGACTACTTTGTTTATAACAAAAGAAACGATTTTGACTCCAGAGTGTTGACAATTGATTAAAAGCACAACTCAGCATTCTTAGATAAATGTTTGGATTTTAATGTGTACCATCTTATTAAGAATCAAATGTTTTAATGGATTTACATTTAAGAATTAAAGTTTTAGGCAAATTGTTTTGAAAAATATTGCACATGAAGACGTTTCAAAATAGTAAAATGACCCTGATGAGTCTCTTTCACAAGATAAAAGTTTCACTCTCTAAAACGTGGCCTAAAATGTTCATTTCCTTCTGGCTTCTTCATTCTGCTCAAGTAACCAAACAAACATTCAGATTGAATTTGTATATCCAGATGGATTAATGTGCACTGCATTTTACCAATAGAATGTTCAATTATTTTTCAAATATTTTAAAAAATTATAATTGTTTTCTTAATAAATATTTGGAAGTAGAAAATCGGAAGTAATAATTTTGGGTTTTAAGGTGCATATTGATAAAAAAAATCCATGGAAAAATAAAAGCATATGTTATCTTTTGGAAAAAAATGGAGGAAAATCTAACTCTTAATCTACATTAGATATGTTTTCAATTTTAAGAAATACTCTTCCCCTTATTATTAATATATTAGATGCACACATTTTATTTTAATTATTTCTAGAGAGAAGTTGAAAGAATAGTTTTCTGGACCATGTTCATTTTTAACTCCAAGCCTTCTTCACATCCCTCCCCCAAAATAAGGGTAAATGATAGTCAGCATTTCAAGAAAAATCCTTTAGGACTAGAGAAAATATTTTCTTCTTGAAGTTTTTCTGGAAAGAAAAAATCACAAATGTCTTATTTACATTTATAAGAGGATGAGTTGGCTAATTGGATGTGTTGGCAGAGCAAACTGCCCAGATTTAAAGTTTTAGATCATGCAATTAAAGTAATTTTCAAACATTAAAAATGACAGCCACTCCTTCCATTTATGACACCACACAGTGGCAAAAATAGACAAATTATTCGCTGTCTACATAGCTCATGGATAGTAGAGTAATAATGACTAAGACTTCATGAATAAGAAATGTTTGTATTATCATTTATGGTGCTTACGTTTTTCACCAGTTAATTCACTTAGAACTAATATTTCTTGAGCACCTACCCTATGTCCAACCCTCTGGTAAGTACTGGAGTCACAATAGTGAAGGAAATGGGAAAAAAAACACAAAAAACTACACCAAATTAAAAACATGAGGTGTCTGCCTTCACAGACATATAAATCTACAGAGGAAGGCTGGCATTCATTACATCATATTAATCAATATGCAGTTATAATTGCCATAAGAGCCATATCTCAGAAGTATGTGATTCTATTAAAATGTTTAACTGGTAAATCCTGAGAATTTTATTTATTGAGAAAGAACTATTTTTGCTGAGAGGCAAAAGGTAAGTAGGAGTGAGCTTGACAAAAGGTAGTAGGTGGGGAGAAGAAACTATTTCCCTACACGTGCAGGAACATTTAGAAAAGGATCTGTGTGAAGAAGAACCCGGATTGGAGGATGAAGAACAGGCCATTTTTCTGGAGAAACTAGGATGAGCCAGAGAGTAATACAGGAGTGAGAGTGGAGAAGATGCAGCTGGAAGTTGGTCATAGTCAAGACATAAGCCTTAGATGTCAGTAAGTCCAGCTACCTAATTTGTGGGTCCCAGTACAAAATGAAAATGTGGTGTGCCATTTTCAAAAATCAGGGGAAAAAAGTGTCATTAGTGATACTAAATATAAACCTCTTTACTTTTAAAGTATTTTATTACTTATAAAATACAGTAGTGGTAATAATCCTGGATGAGTGATAATGTGCACTTAAACATTTTTAAAAAAATCATAAACACTTTTGGTGTCATAATTTTATATGATTCAATAAATTGTAATACTTTATTGAGGTTATATCTTGATTGATTATAAACATTTCTCATTGGCTTTTCTGCTAATTCATTTATTAGAACAGCAGAATTTATATTTTTAGCAACTCCATTTTCAACGGATACAATGGTAGCGACATCAGTCGCTCCTGACAAATGGCAGGTCGCAAATAGATTTTGATAAGTTTTTATTTTGCAAGGGATCTTTCTGCTGATGCAACTTTTGTGAAAACATTAAGAGTACTTCACAGATTTCAGCAATATTGGCATAAAATTTCCGAAAAATTTACTTGAAATATAAATTCTAAAACATCGAGGGCTGATGATTTTTATGGAACGATTTTTTTTCTAAAAAAAATTAACTCTTTACACAGATCTGTTTTGTATAAATCTAATTTAATTTTAAATGTAAATAGGTACAATGGAATCCTATCTTTTTTCTCTGACACAAGCTGTAACTTGTGAAAGTTGTATGAGAAACTGAAAGCGGCTTCACGATTTGTATATAATTAAAAATGCCTGTCTATACATTTCATTTGTGCATCTTCCATTACCAAAAAAAAAAAAAAACTTCATTGATAATTGGTTCCCCTGAAGTTTCATATAAAAATAGTGGCTTTATCCATTAAGTGAAGTAACTTTTAAGTTTGATTTCTCCCATCCAAGTACTAACCAAGCCCAACCCTGCTTAGCTTCCAAGATCAGATGAGATCAAGCACGTTCAAGGTAATACGGCCATTGACTGAAGTTTGATTTCTACTTCTAGCCTGTAGATTTTGCTGAATTTTGCCATATTGCAGAAATTTTCAAAATCCCGGATTTTAAACTCTTTGAATAAATCGAATAACTATATGACATGCTTTATGGCGATGTCCATGTGCATGTTTTTATTTTGTAATAATTTGCTGGCAACCTCCATTGCCTGAGCACTAACAGTTCTCATCCTGTTGCCCAGGCTGAAGAGTTAATATTTCTGCAAATGGCACAAGGACAGCCTCTGGGGGCAGGTGGACAAGCTGGCCCCTCCAGCGTGGATCCTGATGCTGACTGCTTTTGGAGTCTCTCCTTCCCCTGCAGCCTTTGCTGACACCCACCGCTGTTTCTGCTCTTGCTGCCACTGTCACCTGCATTCATCTGGGCCCAGGTCCTGCCTGACATGCCCACGCCTTCAGGGCTCCACTACTGCCATGAGGCATACTTGTGCACACCTGCATATGGCGCCATATGTTATGCGTGCACACTGCCTGCTGGATCCTCAGGCGAAGCCCATGTGTGCAAGAGCAGCAGCTGCTGAAGCATAACCACATGCATGGTGCTGCCACCCAGCACGTCTCCTGCCCACACACATGCTCCATTGCCCCATGAACCTTCACTTACAAAACACAAGTTGAGAAATAACAGGGTTTAGAATTTCAAGGCAGTCACATCAGAACATTAAACCAAGCCTGGGGCTTTCCTTAGCACGGGGCCCTGTGTGACGGTGTTAAACATCCATGAAACCAACTCGGAATGCCACACTAAGCAATGTGCTCTTACATGGAAATAAACCATGGCATGGTGGCTACCAGAGGCTGGGGTGAAGGAGGAATGGGGAATGGGGAGATGTTGTTCAAAAGATACAGATTTCAATTAGACAGGAGGAATACGTTTTTGGGATCTATTGCCCAGCATGGTGACTATAATTAATAATAATGCATTGTATATTTCAAAATAGCTAAATGAGCAGATTGGAATTATTCTCATCCCCCCAAAATAAGTATGTGAAGTGATGGATATGTTCATTAGCTTGATTTAATCATTCCACACAATGTGAACATATATCAAACCACCACTCTGTACCTCATTAATACATAAAATTATTATTAGTCAATTAAAAAATTTAAAAAAAGAAATGCATTTGTTTTGCTGAAAAAGTAATGGGAACCATTGGAATGTGAAGCAGAAGATTGGTATAATGACATACCAGTATCTGCCGTGTGAAAAATGGAATGTATTTAAAAAGAAGTAGCTCTGTGCAGGCGGACTTGGTATGCAGAAAAAGGGGAAGTATAGCTCTCCCCTGGGAGTGTCCTCCTGTGGCGGTGAAAGGTGCTTGGACAAGAATGTTTGCAACTGCTGTATCCTCTCCCCACACTCCATGCAGACCTGTCCTCATCCTGTGTGGGTGGCCCTCTGACTGCCACAAGGCCACTGATTGCCACCTGGAGAGTTCACTTAGACAACCACGCACAAGTGCCAGCTCAGATCTCAACATGCATACCCCACAGAGACAAAAATCACACTTGCAGAGACTGGATAGTGGTGCCTGAGCAGCAAAAATGGGCAAAACCTTTCATGCTA